TCTGGGGCCTCTCATCTCTCCTCACCCTTCCTGTCCACCCCAAGGCCCTTCCCAACTCCTAAGGGGAGCAAAGTGGCCAGGGAACCCTCTTCCCCGCCGCTCCCCCTCCACCTGCCGGCCCAGCTACAGAGACAGGCGGGCGAGCCCCGGGAGGAGGGCACCCTGGACCTGCCTGGAACCCCGCAGGCAGCCATGGGCCCTGGGAACGGGATCCAGGCGACGGGCCGGCACATCTCTTGGGATGGGAAGCCCTGTTCGAGTAAGGCCTCGGCTCTGCTGGCTGGAGGACCGGGTTATTTCTGGATCCTCTGTGCCCTCACCTTGCCCAGGGACCCCAAGTCCAGTCCCACTGAGGTTCAGAGGCTCATGAGCACTTCAGCGGGTCACGTGGCAAGGTGAGCGGCAGCGCACCCTTACCCGGTGCTGGAACAAGGCGGTCTCAGCCAAACTCACAGTCACCGCAGCCGCCGGGGCTCAGCTGCCCCTTAGATGGAGGTGCTCAGGCCCCAGTGTGGTGACCACTCACTGGCCCAGGCCAGACACGGCCCCGCCAGGTGAGACCTGCCCCCATCCCAGGACAGGCTCCAGCCGCCCCTGGCTGAGGTTCTCCATCCAGAGGTTCCGCAGAGAGATCCCCTGGCCCCCAGACACCCATCCCCACCTGCCGGCGTCCGTCAGCCACCTCGACCCCCAGGGCCCCCAGGCCACCACCGTCACGACCCAGAGTCTTACTGCATCTTTCTTGCCTGCTGCCCTCCTGCTGCTCTGGGAGAAGCAGAGCAGGAAGTGGGTGGGAGTTTCAGGGTGGCCCAGAGCACCTCTGGGGAGAGGAGGTTGCCAGGAGGCTGGAGCAAAAACTGAACCACGCATGAGAGAGAGCCTGGGAAGGGCAGAGAGCGTTCAGTGGGGACAAGGGGAGGAGAAGAGGAAAGATTTGGGGGAGAGAGACAGCTTGGGGCTTGGGGAAGGGGACAAACACGAGCCTGGAAGAGGCAGAGGACTGGGGGGGAGGGAGTGGAGCCCCGGGGCCGGAGGGAAGAGTGTCCTGATGCCCACTCCGGGGGAGAGGAGGGGATGGGCACAGGGTGGGCAGTGTCCGTCCATCCGAAGAGCAGCATCTTCCTTCTTGCTGAGGAAGCAGGATGGGAGCCATTGTGTGGCCGTGTGTGGCTGTGGGGGCCCTTGGCGCCCCCCACCCCAACCGCCATCCACATGGGCAGCGGGGGTCCCCTCCAGTGGCGGACACAAACCTGGAATAGACATGTGTATCTCGGAGGTTGTCAGTGGAGGCAGGGGACATACGACGGGCTGGGAGTCCCTGGCCACATTCTGCCCTCGTGGCAGCCCTGTCGGAGGCTGGGGCATCTCTGGACAATGTGGGGGTCGGGGCGGGGAAGGAAGGGTTATAGACAGACAGTGGTCTTCAGAGCTGCCCTGCTTTCCCTCCCAGACTGAGGGCAGGGTGCTGGGGTCCGGGGTCTGGATGAAGGGGGCCTTGTCCCAGGGGCCAAGTGGTGTCGAGTCACTCAATCAGAAGAGACACTGAGGAGACTTCTAGAGACCCAGAGCTGCCTCCTCGCCCTTGCCCCTTTCCCAGGACCCCCCTCAGGGCCAGTGGGGCCCGAGCCCTGCGGCCCCCTGTGGACCCCGCCGCGCCAGGCCACGGGCCCCTTCCCTCTGGGCCTCTGTTCTCTCACCTGAGGGGACGGCCTGTCTCCATGGAGCTGGGGCTGGATGGTGTCTGAAGAAACCCCACAAAACGCACAGCACCGTGGTGTTCAAGGCCCAAGTCGGGGGGTGGGGGGGACAAGACGAAGGTGCAGGGTGGGGCCCGGACCCCTGGCGCCTTTGTTCAGCTGGCACCAATGATTTGCTTAAATCAGAGCTCCCAGCCCAGTGGGGTTGGGGGCTCAGGAAATAGGGTGAGGGGCACAGGGGCCTTTCTCTGATGACGTCTGCTTCTCCCTGAAGCCGATTAGACTCCACGCAAGGCCCGTGGCGGTGGCCTACTTGTCCAGTGGGAGCAGGGTGCGAGAGGGTGGAGTGGACCTGGGACCAGGGAGCCTCTGCAGGGCCAGCTGCACTCCCTGCCTCCTGGGAGCCAGGGTGGGAGGGAACAGGCAGACACCGTGTGGGGCTGGAGACACTTTCTGATTCGGGGTGGGGCTGAGCTCCCCAAGGGGCCACGGCTGGACACGGGTGCCAAGGTCCCGGCTGGGGGCTGGCAGAGGGGCGGCTGCCTCCAGGTGGGACTCAGACTCTCCTTCAGGGAGCTGTGGCCAAGGGGAGGCATCACCCCCTCCAGAGCAGGCACCCCAGCACCCCATGGTCACATCCTTAGAGCCCAGAGGCCCTCACCTGGCCCTCCTGTGCCGGGCTGGACCCGGAGGCTCCTCAAGGACTAGCTCCAGCCTGGACACCTGGGAACTGACCTGTCCCAAGCTGGACAGCCAAGACGCGGTGGCCGTGCTGGGCTCCAGCCCAAGGTGGTCTCCGGGTTGGTGCTGGGGGCTGGGGGGAGAGGGTTGCTTTTCATGGTTTGGCTGAGGGGACGGCAAAGATGTCCTCCGTCCCAACCCAAGCGCCTCCTTCACGCGTGGACATGGCCGCACGCCGGTCGCCATCACAGGTCCATCCTTGACCATCTCACCAAGACCCGGGGACACACAGTGTCTTCTCCCCCACCGGCCGGCTGGGAAATGGCCCACGATGCAGGGCGCACGCCAGGACGGCCGGGGATTGGTCACTGCCTGAACGTCCGCGGACGGATGCCCGGGTGCCCTTGGGCAGCCTTCCCCTCGCCACAGGCTGTCCAGGCCGGGAAACCCTAAGCCAAAGGGATTAAGAAGAAAGGACAGAATCGGCCGTTCCTTTGGCTGTGCCTCTTTGAGCCTCATTTAGTGTATATTTGCTCGGTGGGTACAAACACGGAGGTGGCGATGCCAGGAGCCCGGCCCCGCTCCCATCTCTCTACTTAGCGGGCTCGGAGGCCGCCACGCCCCCACCGCCACGCCACACCCCCACCACCACGCCACGCCCCCTACCACGCCACGCCCCACCACGCCCCACCGCCACGCCACGCCCCATGGTAGCCGTGCCCCAACACACCACGCCTTCACCACGCCTCGCCCCCACCTGCCATGCCTCGCCCCCTGTTACGCCACACCCCCTGCCATGCCACGCCCTCACCACCATGGCACGCCCCCTGCCATGCCACGCCCTCACCGCCATGCCATGTCCCCTGCCACGCCCGCTGGTCCCAGGGGCGCCTTCTTGCACATTCCTGTCGTCAGCCAGGAGGGCTCCTTCGGAGGGATGGGATGCGTGGGGACCCTCTGCGTGCACCCCTGAGCCGGTTCCCAGGACCCCGCTTGGCCGCCGCTCTCTCCCCAGCCCGGAAGGTCCTTCCTCCCCAGGGTCTCCGCTCCACGTGGGTGCAGGAGCTGCGAGCCTCTTGCCCTGGGCCATGCTGGGGGATGCCCTCCCCAGACCCCGGCCCCTTTCCACCTGGGACCCAGGCATCTCCTGTCAGCTGAAATTCACCTTGAGGGGGGTCTGGGCACCCAGAGCTCCTATGACTGCAGAGTTGGGGTCTTGGGCTGCCTGATTGGGGGCCCCAGGGTCCCCCTGCACCCTCCTGGCTCCCTCCCCTGCTGGAGGCTTCCTGGAGTGAGGTGAGGTGGAGGGAGAGCCACTAGGGTCCTTCCCAGGGTGAGGTGGGCAGAAAGGTCACTGTGGCCCCTGCCGCCTTCCCACCTGTCCGAAACAGGACGTTGATGGTGGCCTAAACTGCCAAATACTGTAGGTCCCTTGGGGGGACCTGCCAAAGGGACCCCAAGGGACGGTCCAGGATCTGCGCTCACCGCCCCCGAGCACACCCCTCCAGCCCATGCTGGTCTATCCCCTGCTGGGTGCGGTCTCCCTCACAGGACCCTCCTGGGGCTCTGGGATGGGCTTGGTTCTGTTTTACTCCATGACAGAGCCGCCACAGTGCAGGCTTGGAGGGGTGTGGGCGGGGCTGGCTGTCCCCCGGCCCACTCTCAGACCCGACCACTTACGAGTAATGAGGTCCAGGTGGCCCCTTGCGAGCCTGGGTCCTCGCTGGCTGCAGGACCCACATCCTGCCCTGGAGCAACTAATGACAGCCAGAGGCTGCAAGGCGAGATCCCCCTTTGCTGGCAGGGCCGTGCGGCAGCCCTCCAGCTGGCAGGTGGGCAGCCGGGCCCCAGCCTCAGGACGTGGGCCCCTGCTCTGCGTCCCCCCGGTCTATCCCTCTGGGTCCTGCCGCCTTGACCCAGCCTGAGGACTTGGGGAGAGTAGTTGACATTTCTGTCTCATGTGGCCCCTGAGGAAGTGACACCGACTGGCCTTCCTGCCCGTCTGCCTCCTGGGGTGAGGTTCCAGGAGGCCGGGTGAGGCAAGGCGCTTCTGCTTGAGAAGAGGCAGAGCCCATACGATGGTGATGGCTGCCCAGCCGCGGGAGGGTGCCCACCACCGCCCCACCCCTGACAGATGAGCCTGCTGCAGCCTCTGTTACATCCTTTTCACCCCAGTAAAGCAAAGACCACTCACAGGGCTGTGACACAGATGCGCCCCGGACTGCCTGTAGGTGCCACGCTCCCCCGGGGGCAGCACCCATGGGCATCAAGGGGGTGTCCCACTGGCCTGGCCCTGCGTCCGCTGCACCTACTGGCTCCACCTGACCCCACCGGGACAGTCTCCTCTCGCTCCGACTGTGCAGACAGGCCCAGCACAGACCCAGGCCAGCAGTGGGAGCTGATGGGTGGGATGTGGGGACACACTTGGGGCTCCCTCTTCACGTCTCCCAGGAAATGGAGGATTTGTCCTCCAGGAAAGTAGCTGGGCTCAGTGACCAGGCCTGCAGCGTGGACGTGGAAAGAGTCTGGGTTTTGGGGGGGGCACTCTGAGAAGTTCAGAAGGGCAGCAGGAGCCCCCCCCCCCGCCCCGGAGAAGGGCGAGGGGGTCACAGGACACAGATTTCAGGTGGCCGGCTGCAGGTTGAAGTCAGCCGAGGTGGACACCAGGCCGCACTGCCTCGGGGTTGTCCGGTAGGCAGGAGATGGAATTATGACCTTTGTTACGGAAAGGATAGACAGCGGCTGCTGAAGAGCGTTGAGCTGGAGCTGCGACGCAGAGGAGCTGGGAGCTGAGCAAGGGGAGGCGGCCAGCCCGGGGGGGCCAGGGCCCAGGCCCAGGTAGCGGCCGCTGGCTGCGGCCCGAGGCCCGAGCGCTGCTGCAGCCCACCCCGGGCTGCCGGCCCGCAGAAAAGTGCTGGCCGGCCAGCCCGGGGGAGGCCCAGGGCCCGGCCCAGGTAGCGGCCGCTGACTGCGGCCCGAGGCCCGAGCGCTGCTGCAGCCCACCCCGGGCTGCCGGCCCGCAGAAAAGTGCTGGCCGGCCAGCCCGGGGGAGGCCCAGGGCCCGGCCCAGGTAGCGGCCGCTGGCTGCGGCCCGAGGCCCGAGCGCTGCTGCAGCCCACCCCGGGCTGCCGGCCCGCAGAAAAGTGCTGGCCGGCCAGCCCGGGGCGGGGCCCAGGGCCCGGCCCAGGTAGCGGCCGCTGGCTGCGGCCCGAGGCCCGAGCGCTGCTGCAGCCCACCCCGGGCTGCCGGCCCTCAGAAAAGTGCTGGCCTTGCGACTCCAGATGGATCCAGAGTTGTTGTGCAACTCTGGGCTGGCGGAGACCAGGGCGGGCCTGAAAAAACGTGGGAGAGGAGGCCTGGGGTCTGCAGTCAGGCCCTCCCTGCTCCCTCATCGTCGGCAGGGAGCCCGCCCAGGGCTGCGGGGCTGGGCACCTCGGTGCCAGCTGTGCCTGTGCAAATATGTTCTTCAGGCCCTGGAGCCTTCAAGCTGCGCCTGGCGGAGCGGGTCCCGGCCCCTAGCAGCGCCTGCCCTGTGCACGCCTGTGGCCCAGCCCACGTGCTAGCCCTTCCAGGAGGGCACCTGGCCCCGCGGGAGGCCCCCTCCATGCATCCAGGGCCCTGTCTGTGGAGCCCGCCTGCAGGCTATGTCAGGGCATGGCTGGCCCATCCTGGGTCCCACGAGCGGGTGTCAGGGTTGGTTCCCGCGCCCTGAGCCAGGTAGCTCTGCCCAGGCGGATGGACGCTTGGGGCAGAGCCTGTGGCCAGGCGGACGCAGTGGTTCCTGTTGGAGCCCCATCCACCTCCCTTGGGGGCCACTTGGAGGCCAGAAATCCTGTGAAGGAGCGGAACGGGGCTGTGGGCAGGAGGGGTCTGGGGAGCATCTCCTCGCAGCTTTCCCATGACGCCCCCATAATCTGGGCTCTTCTCCTTGGCACCCCCGCACCTCACAGCTGCTGAGCCCGGCCAGCTGCTCCTCCCCCTCCCCGGGCCAAGACGAGCAAGTGTCCGGGCACTGCGGCCTTTCCCATGGCAGAGGGGGGGCGCTGGGGGGCGGCGAGGAATTTGAGGAGGAAGCAGCAGTGGCCCGAGAATTTGGAAAATGTGTCCAACTGCTTGGAGCACTGGGAAGATGCCGGCCGGGGGATTAGGAGGAGGAGGGGGGTGGACGCAGTCCTGGGTGGGCCATGACGGATGGGGCGGCCGGGGCTCCAGCGGGAGAAGGCGGCCCGTCCAAGCGGGTGAGCCGAGGAGGGCAGCTGTCCCCATCCCTCAGCCGGCCCCCTCCTGCTGGCATCTCAGCGGACACCTCCGACCCCAGGCTGCTGAGGCTGAACCCTGGGCCTGGTCTGCTCCCGCAGGCTGCCCTGGCCTGAGACGGGCCCTGGGTGTTCGGGGCGTGGGGTCCTTGGCAGGCAAGGTTGAACCCCGCTGACCGCCTCCTCCGCCAACTCTGTCTCCTCTCCAGTCCTCTCCTCAAGGGCCGGAGGCCCCCAGTTTGGGCCCTCAGTGGGGGCGCCCCTCCGGGAAGGGGGGGAGCTGAGGCTGCTGCCTGGTGGGTCTGGCCCCCGGGAACCCTCAGAACAGCAGCTGGCCCTGCTGCTTGGAGCCGGCTGACAGGTTCGGCCAGCCCTGGGCTAAGCCCTCCGTGATTAATTGTGGTGGATATTCACACCAGGGGGAGTGGGCCCTTGGCTAAGCCCAGCAGCTGCTCGTGGGGGCCCAGGGGGGCTTGGGGGACCTGCTCCATCGTCCACGCCCCACCCTGCTGGCCTGCACCAGCTTCACCATCTTGCCTGAACAGGCCCAGTCCCCGCTCGGGGGTCTCAGGGAGGTGCCCCTTCCCCCTAGAGTGAACAGCCATGGGGGCCGGGCTTTGATGACCTTACATAAACCAGACCGTCCCTGGGCCATGGAGGCAGCACTGGGACGTGAGATTCCAGCTGCCCCCCGCCAGGTCCGAGCTCATCTGCAGCCCCAGAGCCACAGAAAACCTGCTGCCCCCGCAGGCAAAGGCTGGCTCCGCTCCTGGGGACAGAGGGGCCCCAGGACCAGTGACTCTGTAGGGATTGCAGGCCCTGGGGATAGGGAGAGGGGAAGAGCAGGGCGCGGACCGGGTGCAGGGACCACCGGGCCTTCCGGAACATCCAACCCCGAGGGGGCGGATCCGGAGTTGGATTTTGACCTGGAAAACAAGCTTTTTCCAGAAAAGGGAGAGGGGGCCCGCAGGGGCCGCTGGCCACATCTCTCTGACCCCTGACCCCTGGCTCTGGCGTTTGCTCAGCCAGCTTTGCAGAGACCCGGCAGAAAATCCCCTGGGTCACTGACTCCCGGGCCCCCTCCTGTGTCCTCCTCACTGGCCTCCTCTCCCTGCCCACCCCTCCCGGCTGCTCGGGTTCTCCAGAGGTGCCTGGGAAAAGGCCCTGCCCCCCGCATCCTGGCGCCTGCCTGCCTGCCCGCCCCCGTAAGGGGAGCAGGAGGGGTTCCGGCTCTGTCCCCCGTGGACCTGAGTGTGGGGCGCCCTCACCGCTGTGCTCAGACAAGGGTGGGAAACGCCATGTGAGGTGACCCCAGAGGCCGGCCTGGGCGCAGAGGGCATCAGGCCTGGCGAAAGTCTCGTGCCCCAGAGTGTGGGCCACCCCCACCCCGTCCTGGCCTTTGGTCCCCTCTCTTCACGGGTCAAAGCGGGGTCCGCCTTACAGGGCTTCTGTAGTCCTGGGGCGTCCCCCAGGGACAAGGGGCCGCAGTGGGGCCCTGCGGGTGGGTTCCCGGGGCACCAGCCTGTCCAGCCTGCCCCAGCCCAGGAGCCCTCCCAGGGCAGCGTAATTGTGGGAAATGCAGGCCACATGCCTCAGGCTCATTTATACCTAATTCAATACAATGAGCTTCCCGGGGCCTTTGATGTCCCAGGACCTGCCGGCCTTTAGTGCCTTGTGGGCTGCAAGGCCGGAAGCCATGGTTTAGGGCAGAGCTGGGCGCCTCCTCCCCTCTGCGGTGGGCTGTCGGGGACCCAGGGTTTGGTCTCCTCCCCGGGGAGGGAAGGCTGGTTGCCAGGCAGCCTTGGTAGCCGCACGGGCCTCCCCCAGCACCCTGGACCCCTCCCCAGACCACAGGCATCCTCTGGAAGAGCCGGGCACTGCAGGGCAGGGAGGGCCAGGGGGCCTTGTGGAAGCCAGATTTGGAAAGCAGGTTCCAGGGTGGGCTCAGCGCCCGTCAGGAGCAGCCCCTGGCCTGTGGGTGGAGGTCACACCTGGGGGACAAGGGCCAGCCGGCACGGCTGGGGAGGGGCTCCTGGAGATCATCGAGGACGGGGGCCGTGGGGCCAGCTGGGCCCCAGTGTGCCCGACTGGTCAGCCTCTGCCTGAGGGCCTGTGGGCAGGGCTGTTCCAGGGCCTTGCTGCAGGCTGCGGGTGGAGGGTGAGTGGGAGCGTGCCAGCTACCCACGGGGAACAGGCCCTCCTGAACTCTTCCCGGGGGCTTCCTGGAGGTGGGGGCTCGGAGGGCAGAGAGGGTTGTGTCAGGCTGCAGGCCGCGGTGGGCGCCGGCTGGGAGCCCAGCAGGACGGGAAGCTCGTAGCTCCCCCGGGCGTGTGGTGAGAGCACACGCGAGCTGGAGCGGGTGTCCGAGAGCTCCGGGCCTGGGGCGCTGGGGCCTGTGGGCTGGCCAAGACAAGCTCGCCCTGCTGGGTCTGCAGGGGCGTCGGGGCCACGAGGGCACGGGAGCCCAAGGAGGGCCAGGGCCCAGGGCCGGGCTCCATGCCATGCCCGCGTGCACACAGCATCCCCCAGGATGGCCTCCACCCCCGCCCCCACCCGGAGGGCCGGGCTGGCTCTGGGGAGGGGGGGACAGCTGTTGGTCTCTCACATTCCAGACTCGGGGCCAAGCATTTGGGTGAGGCTGTTTTTCTTAAAAAGTGTCATTTGAAAATAAACAGTGTTGCTGGCGCTTCTCTGATTGCCCCAGGTCCCTAGGGAGCAGCAGCAGGCAGGCAGTATCTGGGGGTCCAGGTGGTTGGGGTCTTCCAGCCAGGTCGGCCCCCCCACCGCCTCCCAGAACGGGCCCTGCCGCTGAGAAGGCCCACCAGGCTGGGGCCTCCCTCACCATGCCGATGGCTCCAGAGGTCGGGTGCCCCTGTGGGCAGCCAGGCCCGGGGAGGTGGCCGGGAAAGACAGGGTCTTCCTTGTCCCAGGGCAGGTCCAGGCAGGCCCAGCTGGTCTCACTGCCCAGGGGCTGCGTGGGGTGCCTGGAGGCCTGATGCCTCTGATTCACCTACACACCCAGGGCTCTGGGGGCCCAGATTCCACCCCCTGCTGCTGCCTCTGCTCTTAGCTTCTCAGTGAAGTGGGTAGGAGACCCCTTCCTGAGCTCCAGAAACTGAAGGCTCTGTGCTTCCTTGGGGGCTGCCCACCACCACACCCCCTGCCAAGCACAGTCTTAGCAAAGGCAACCACACTTTCTCCTCTTGGAACTCAGGCCAGCTCCCACCTTCCCAGGGTCATCTGAACCAAGGCCAAACCATGACCTCTGGGCGCCATGTCTCTCCTGCCCGCTGCCCACTGCCCACAGGACGGTCGTGCCATGACCCACCCGGCAGCCGTGAGCAAGCCCTGGGCTGTCAGTCTGGGGGGAGGTGTGTGGACCCCCGCCAGCCTGAGGCCCTGGAGCCCCGTCGTGGCCCTGCAGCGTCTAGAAGCGGGGCTCACTCGCCTCTCCCACACACTTGCTGCTCCCCCTGGCTGGACAGGCGGGGGGAAGAGGGAGCCGGCTTTGGTGCACGGGCCCACCTCGGCCTGCTCCCAGGCCGTGCACCCCCTGCAGAAGCTGCCTGGGGTGGCAGTTACTAGGGGGTCTCGTGGCCCCCGATGCTGCATGGGATGCTCTGTGCCTGCCCCGCACCCCAAGGAGCTAGGAATCCGGCTGCAAGGCCCTCCCCACTCAGGCAGAGCCCAGGGCCCTTGCTGAGCAGAACAGCAGGCCTCAGAGGGAGAGGGTCCTCCTGGGTGGGGGTTGAGGGGGTGGCCCACCATGTCCCCCCGACACCGCACTGCTGTGACACCGTGAAGCTGGGCTGCCCTGGGGGAGTGGGCAGCAGGAGACCCCCACCCCATGATAAGAGACCCCTGGGCTGGACACAGTGTGAAGGACATGGGAGGCGAGGCGGCTCCTGTCCACCCCCAGAGCAGCCCTGCATGCTTTCCTCTGCTGCGGACGTGCTGACCCTGACCCTCTGTCCATCCGGGGTGGGCCCGGCCCCACCGGCCCTGTTTGAGTTCCGAGGTCAGTGCCCAGGACTTTGCCTGGGGGCTGCGCCCCAGAGACCACGCACTCCTCACCTGCCTGACCCGCCCACCCTGCTGGGGCTGGGGAGTGGGTGGCGGGTGGTGGGATGACATAGAGCCCGCCCCCCTCCAGCTCGGCCCATGGAAGCCTTTGACCTTCCAGGAGGTTCCTCCTGTGCTCCCCGTCCGCCCCCAGGCCCCTCTCACGCGCTCACACTCTGGGGCTGTCTTCCTGCTGGAGTTTGTCCCTCCGGGCCTGTGGTGACCCCCCACCCACAAGTGCACACAAAGCCAGAGGCGGGGTCGGAGCCAGCTGCACCCACGTCCTGCGGGTCCCCTCAGGGCCTGCGGGGCTCCTCAGGGCCTGCGGGGCTCAGGGTCCCCTCCGCCTCCCTGTGGAATTCAAGGGAGCGGTTGGTGTGCACGAGAAGCTTCCTGTTAGTGCAGAAGCACTTCCCCGAGGCCTGCCTGAGGTTCTGGCGGCAGGGCCCGCGGGCCAGAGCACACTCCCAACTGGCATCTGGAGGCCAGAGTCACCCTGAGTCTGGGACCCCCGGGCCCTCTCCCAGGAAGCTTCCCCAGACCACTCAGCAGCACCTCCGCCGGGAGGGCGGGGGTGCGCAG